TAAGGACTGGGCTTGTGAAATTAACATTATGTATTGGAGATGCATGTTGAAAGCTAACATAAATAGTGGTATAGGTCTAAATTTTTAGAGTTATCCATATCTTTATACCATTTTATGCTAATTATTTACCTGAAATCATTTTTTTTTATAAAGTAAGCAGGCTTTGTTTATTTATCATATATTTAAGGGGAAGGGGACTTAATTTAATTGTGAATACAACCAGACTACATATTTCCAAATTATTGCAATTGACACTTTAATGATGTCATTAACAATTTAACTTAATCAAAATCTGGGGTTCTTTTCAAAGTCATATTTCTTTCAAAAACTACAATCCTTCTGGAACAGCTTTGAGGCATACTCATTTTTGCTCAACTATTTGGTATTCATGCATCTTGCTGACATAATCACCATGTTGCTTGTTGCACAGCAAGACCTGGCTGGGGAAGGGGGGGGGGGGTGAACAACCCCATAACGGGGTCACTGGAGGCCAATTAACTACTTGAGAGGGGATGGGATATCTCAATTCACAAGGGCGGGGCACCCCCACTTCCCTCCCACTTCCCCCCAATCAGGAACCGTTGTGTTTCAGGTAGTGCGCTGGAAATGGAACACTTCCCTCTCCTAGCTAACCGCTCTCTCACGAGCTCCTTCTTGCTCTGCTCTGACGTCCTCCCTCGTTGCCGCAGCAGACGGCATTACGCCCTCAGGCAAGACATTCGGAGGCCGAAAGAGCGATGGAGGGGAGGCTCACTCATGAGATCTGATTTCCGTGTGTTTTAAGGTCACGGGTGATCTCAATATCTCCACACTCTCATAGCTTCTTGTTGAATGCTTCAATTTTAGATTACTTACTCTTTCAAGTGGCATCACGTAATGTTCTCTTGTAGTCTGAGAGTAAAGACTTGAGCATGAGATGTGTGAGACAAAAAGACATTACTTTGCATCCAAGCCTATGTATAAAGGGTAGCATTCAACTAAAGTTATTTTGGTGATGAAATATTATTGAATGATTTAGGCTCAATTGTCAGTATCCTATATCTGAACATTAGCTTTGAATATTTCTTTTGTAACAAAAAAAATATTGAGTAAGAGCATGAGTTGCTGAGATTGAAATTTCACTAATAATATTAAATTAGAAGCAATTGTGTGAAGAGTAGCTCACTTGACATATTCACATAAAAAAATTGCAATTCGGTGCAGTGTTTGATATAATTTGAATCATATGTATCCTTACTTTCTCTTCAAGCCCAACTATTTTAATTTTATATATTTTTTAAAAATATTTATTGTTTCTGAGTGATTGGTCCCCCTTATTATGATCATATCGGATCATTAAGGGTACATAGGCTCAGTGTATTGAGCATGGGATACCTGCACTGAAGGTCTCGGGTTCAAATCTCACACTGGGGCACGTCTACATCTTAGGGAGATGTGGAACGCTTGTTGCATGTGCCTTTTCCTGTTACTCCAGCTGTGGAATACAGTAGCAGATCTTTTGTGGTTATGTACTTGACTCCATTAATATGATTATAATGAAATATCCTTTTTAATATTTGAAGATGTGAGTTTGTTAAGTTGTTAGGTAGCTGAGCAAAATATAGTTGCTCGAGCGCAAAAGGCATAATTGTTAATGATATTTACTCATTAGAAGTTTTAAAAAAAAAACATCTGAATGTAAGTTTTGGTAACATTTAGCCTAATCAAGCTAGTACACATATTTACTAGCTCCACATTGTAACAATGTCGGTCTACCTCTTTGTGATGAAATTATAATTTTCAACAATTACGCATTTTCTGCTCCGGACGTGGGGGTAGACTACAAGATGACCTGAGTTTGAAACAAAGTTGTGTCTTTTGGATGCTTAATCAGAAATAATAATATCTGTTTGATAACTGACCCTAAAAAGAAATACACATTCACCAGTTCCAACCATTATGTAATACACACTGCTATTTCAGCATATGTTTCATTATTAGAAATTGTAGTTATAAAAAAGAAATAGACAAGGGAAAAGTGTAATGTTTAGATATCATTTCTCTTTACAACTTTGAAGGTATTACCATTCCTCAAAATAAATTATACACCTACATTGTTTTTTTGTACCTATCTTTTAACAATTTGTCTTTAAAAAGAAACAACACTTGCCTCATGACAGGAAGTAAATACTGTGTTGCCCCAATTTCAGGAAATGTTTTGCTTCAAAAAGAATCAAATTGAGCAATTCTGTGGTGTAATCAAAGTGACCTTTATGTTTGTAAGTCAACAAGGATGATTCTAGAATATAAAAACCTACTCGGTAGCAGAGGTTTATGACCCATTAAATGAAAGTGAGTGGAATTGAAATGGGTTCAAAGTGTTATTTCACCTGTGAGTAATTCCTTGCACCGTGCCTTAAGTGCCTCTGATATATTGGTGCATTTTAGAGTGAATTCAGCAATAATTACTCTTCTTAAAGATACAATGTCCCTTTTGCAGCCAACATCGAATTCTGTAGAACTTTGCAGGAATTATGAATATGTCATGTATGTCCTATCTGTGAAATTTAAACGTTAGCAGTGTCCTAATATTCAAATTATGCAAGGAAACCCGTTTACTTGCTAGACTTCACTGTCGGACACTATTGAGTAACTGATTGGCTATTTATGCCTCCGCCACCGAAGGTGGTGCCGGAGGCATCATGTTTTCGGGTTGTCCGTCCGTACGTCCGTCCCGTTTGACCGTTATCACAATATCTCAAGAACCATTTAAGATTTAAACTTAAGACTCGGGAATAGTATTTATCACCATAGGAAGACGATCTGATTAGATTTTGGAGTACGTAGGTCAAAGGTCACAGGTCACAGAGGTCAACTTATGAAATTCCTTGTATTGAGTTTGTTAGCGCGATATCTCAAGAACCATTTGAGATTTAAACTTCAAACTTAAGGATCGTATGTATCACCATAGGAAGACGATCAGATTAGATTTTGGAGCACGTATGTCAAAGGTCAAGGGTCACAGAGGTCAACTTATGAAATTCCATACATTGAGATTGTTATCATGATATCTCAAGAACCACTGGAGATTTAAACTTCAAACTTAGTGATAGTGTGTATCACTATAGGAAAACAATCTGATTACATTTTGGAGCACGTAGGTCAAAGGTCAAGGGTCATAGAGGTCAACTTATGAAATTCCATACATTGAGATTGTTATCATGATATCTCAAGAACCACTGGAGATGTAAAAACTTCAAACTTAAGGATAGTATGTATCACCATGGGAAGACGATCTGATTAGATTTTGGAGCACGTAGGTCAAAGGTCAAGGGTCACAGAGGTCAACTTATGAAATTCCATACATCGAGATTGTTATCATGATATCTCAAGAACCACTGGAGATTTAAACTCCAAACTTGTTTAAATTGCTCTATGGCGGAGGCATCATTTTCGACTGCACGCAGTCAAAATTCCATCTAGTTTTCTTCTTTGGTAATAACATACATAAAATGAGCTGTAAAGGGTACATGAGCATCTGTCTACATCAATAACCCACTTCTTGTAATGGGAAAATTAAACTGATTGAATCTTTGCGCAGCATAAAACGTACGACCATTCGGTACAATGGTCTGAAAATCAGACTATTACTTACTGCCTCTATAGCTCTTAAGTTGATTCGACAACTAATAGTCATTATTTTCCCACTTAAAGACATTTTCAAGCCCCCCTTTTTTTAGGGAAGTTCTGAATTAGTATTATCTTTCAAATGCCGTTGGAATTTAACCTTTTCATTTTTTGGCCTGCAGATGGGACTTAGTACCTTTAAGGGAAAGAAGTGTTTTGTAATTTGTTGTTGTTGTTGCACCATCTTTGAATAGCATATTACAGACTGAGCATTATTTAAACTAATGAGATGTGTGTACTTGCATTCTAATCAGAAATAATTACAAAAAACAGTTTCAGACCCAGTTTCTGTACCCCTAATCTCCCCCAATCCTCCCCCTTCTCTCCCCTTTCCCTCCCCTTTATCACTCTTTCTCTCTGTGTCTCTCTTTCTCTCTTGTTCTATTATATATCATGCCTTTTGTAAACCAGTAGATGTCATATCATAAGGTTTACTCTTACAAACGGTCATTACAATTTTTTTTTAAAGTGATCTATGGAATGTGAATACTGATTTGACATTAGTTGGTATTGTCCAAGAACAAACTTGATATGAATAGTTTTCTCGCTTCAATTCCTTCTTCAGAGTGTGATATAGCCACTTTAGGTATATCCATATTGCCTCTAAGAAAATATTTGCCAAGAGTACTGAGAATTTTCATGGTAAAGCCACATTTAAACCATTACATAGCGCAGGAAGCTTCACAGTAAGAACCACTTAACAAACATAAATATTCATTTCCCACTCTTTAAAAAGAAAATGGGGATACTGGAGCAGATTTTTTTTGTTTAAGCGACCAAATCCTCGTAATGGGTATCAAGAGAGATCATTCCGTATTTGGTCCATACTTTGCAGTTAACCACGTATCTAAGGTGATTTACGAGGAGGGAAAAGCAGAGCTTTGGGGGAATATGAATAGGATACTGAATAATTGATCAGAAAATGTCTCCAAAGTTCTGATGCGCCCACGGCTGACTAATAAGTTTTTACAGCGTGACCTTTCATGTGAATCTCAGTTAATCCGTGAGCGTAAGATGACAGAGAAAGAATGATGGAGGATTGGAGAAGTTTAGAATTCCATTAAGCATGATCCAGAAAGAGATATTAACTTTTTCCTCTGCCCATCAAGCTCACAAACATGTATCATGAGTAAAATTGTATGACATAACTTTTACCGGTTATCATAGGTTCTTTTTTCATCGTTAATCTTGTTGCAAAATATGCTCCATGATATCAAACTTCACCACTTAGTGAATCAATTTTGGGTTTCATGAAAGAAGGATAGCTCTTTTTCATTGTCTTGATTTGTTATCCACACTATCTGCATTTTGGTATTATATAAACGCCTACATCAATGGCGAGGATTATTGAGGGTTTCCGTGGAGGCGTGTTAAGAGTTAACTATGTATATAGAGAGCAAGAGAAGTTTCAAATGCAGCTGGAATTAGAGAGATATCGATTCATTCAGGTTGATGGATGAATGGTACTGTCACACAAAGCTAGTATTCTGGTAAATTGATGTTTTGATCAAAGAAAAAGAAGAATAAATGGCTAGGGATTTCACTATGTGGGCCTACAAGCAGAGCATGGGGGTGTTTCACAAAGACTAAGATCGAACTTAACTCTAAGTTGGACTTAAAAATTATGGAGAGTCATTTGTAGCCTTAAAATGTATATATTCAAATGCGAAAATTCAACTATTTTAGACTTTTTATAAATTCCACATGAAGAACATGAAATCTCCTTGATTAGAGAAAATATAAATGATTTGAATCAACATTTTATGCCTTTTAAAATAACTTTTACAAAATAGTTTCATAGATGTTTTCCATAATTGTTAAGTCAAACTTAGAGATAAGTTCAACTTAGAATCTTTGTGAAACACCCCCCAGGAAATATTAACTATTAAAGTCACTTGTGGAGCTGAATGGCAATTGCATGTAACTACTTGGAAGTCAGTTTTATGATTACTTGAAAAGATTAATGTTATTGTTTCCTTTTTGTCTTTCAGAACAAAGTCAAGGCTGTGATCTCCAACTTCACCAGCGCCATCGACTACGCCAAGCCACCCAGGCAGGAGCCCCCGGTCTACAGGGCCGGGAACGAGAAGCAGGAGGATGACAAGTCAGAACTGATGATGCCACGGAAAGGAGGAAAGAAGGGAAGAGAAGGAGAGAAGGAGGAGAAGAACAAGAAGCCAGAGTTCTCCAACGATGTCCGGTCCTTTGCCATTGTTCTGATGGAGATGATGGCTTGGCTGAAGCAAAAGCAGGTTGATCAGGGTCTGGATGAAGACGTTGCTGTGGGTTACAAAGGCCACATCCTCTGGGATAAACCTGATCAAGGGTCGGTCATTGGAGCGAGACTTGCCGGGGAGGGGTGCGCCAAGTCAGCGAGGGGTGTCCCTAGTGTTTTTTATTCCCCTCATGTCAGTCGGGAGATGCTGGATGTTGAAGCTGGACAGCTCCAGATAGATGACGCTGGAGGCGTGAAGGACGAGACAGACGATAGGTGTGGTACACCGAGCCCAAAGAGGATATACTATGCTAATCAGGCTTACGCGGTGGATGACATGAGATCCAGAAGGGCAATGAGTGATGCTGGGGTTTACCGGAAGATTCTGAATAAGAGGATGGAGCGAACAAACCTCCCTCCAAGACCAAAAAGTGGGGTCGCTGATATACCTTCAAGAGATAACCTTGACATTCAAAGCACATATGTAGCACATGCAAAGGATAAGAAAGCAGGCGGAGGTAGTGGAGAAGATGATGCGGAAAGGTTGATAAAGCCAGAGAATGGTGATACCCATGGTTACCATGGTAGCAGACATGGTGGAATGGTGTCTGATTACAATAGGAATAACATAGCAGGGGACGGGAGCAGCTTGAAGGACAATCCGCGACTAGCGGCAACATTTCCACGCCGGGCGATGATGTCATCGGATATTCTCAAGAGTGAGAAGAGGCACAGTTTGTGCAGCAGCGATAGCGGGATATCTTCACCCCGTAACTCCATGAGAAGTACTAATAACAAATGTGGACAGACCAAGAAATCTGATGCTCACTTGATAGAGCTGAATAATAGGGTGGAATCGGCTCTTTCGGACAGTGAAGCCACTCGAGGGACAGCAGTTTCCAAGCTGAGAGGCATGCTGGATGCCAGTGCTCACAGTCATAAGGTCAGTGAGGGATCCACTGATGGTGATTCTTGTCATGAAGATGACTCCATGATGGAATATGGACCAAATTTCAGAAACAATCGTAGGAGGAAACCCAAACAGCAACACTCGTGTCCAAGTGACACAGGAAGTGATGACTCAAAGTCGGATCATGAAAAATCATATAGGTCGAGGATGAAATCATGTGACCAAAGCGATACAGAAAAAGAGACGGATTATGAGAGTGATAGAAGGAGGGGTAGTGGAGATGGAGCAGAGACGCGCTCAACAAGTTCCCTCTCCAAGTTCTATGTCCGCAAGAAGTCTTTGACTCCGTTCACGGCAGGGATTCCCGAATCGTTGACCCCACCCTGCAGTCGACCTGTAAGTAGGGCCAGCAGTGCGGCTTCTCTCCTGGATGCTCAGGACTCTTGTAGGGCCAAGTCTTACTACGAAGGCTCCAAATCACACCGCAAGTTTTCACTAGGTGCTATGAAACACGAAGGACAAGTATATGCCTTACCCAATGGTACAGCCTATGGCTACTCGCACGCTACACTACCCAAAGACCACCCTTCCCGAAGCAGATGTCGAACCATGGATGGTCGATCAATGACATTGTCCAGAGCCTCTAACCTTCACGACCATCAGGTCGTCATGGGACGCAACGGATGGGGATACTCCCATTTTGTGGTGGGTGGCAACGGTGTCCGGACGCTTCCTCAGGCCATGCACAACGGGGAGCACTTCTTTATCAGGACTGTACCCAGTGGGGTCACTAAACACCATGTAGCCTACAGCCAGCAGCTTCTGAGTGCCCTGCCTTGCCTCAAGGTTGGGATAGGTCAGGAACATCTCCTAGAGGTTGGAGACACCCATGTGGCCATCATGGAGTGGCTGGCTGTCATCAGGGATTCCGACAGTTGCCTCAATAAACAGGTCAGTGCTGATAGGACTCTTGGGAGTGTGAACTGTAATGCGTGAGTCACACCTTTGCGTATTTGGCTTGCGTATTGCTGCGTATTTATGGCAAGCCGTTCTATAATTTAATCCTATTTCTTGATATCAAGAAATGATTTTCTGTTGTAAAGCAATTGTAGTCCTTGATATCGAGAAATAGGAATAAATGTTAAAACAACTTGCCATAAATACGCAGCAATGCACAAACCAAATACGCAAATGTGTGACTGAGGCATAAGGGCAGGATGTTTTAGGAGAAAGGATTATTTCCCAAAAGCATTAAAAACTGAAACACGTTCTATGCAGTCGATCTTTGGCCTTCAGCTTGTTAATACAAAGGTGACTGGGATATTATCCCACTTTTAAACATCAATCCTTCATTTGTTTAAAATATTGATATAACATGATATTTCTTGATAGTGAAAACCTATTGTTCGGACTCAATTAAAATGTCACAATTTCATCATTTTCTTAGGTGGCACATGAAAAAAAAAATTTCTATCTGCTTATAGTTTTGAGAGTCTATTCAGTCAGTCTTTTCTGAATTGGACAGTTAAAATAAAAAACTGAAATAGCGACCACGCTCTATATAATCTATGAAGAAGTTCTATGCCAGATATGACCATGGAAGGTTAAGACATTTAGCATTTTTGTTAATTTCTTGTTGCTTTTTTTCCTTATCCTCACAGTTACTGAACATTCTGAAGGCTTGCTGGACCAGAGAGCCATGTCCCGAGGCCAATGACGTCCACTGCATGCTGGATAACTGCGTTACAGAAGTACCACTATGATGAGGGTCAAAGGTCACGCTTTGTCTGCTAGTTACCAACAAAAGCATGATTACTTTTTTAGATAATTCTTACAATTCTAATTGATCAGCTACAAGATGGGGATGAATACCAAAAGATTAATGAAAAGTTTTCTTGGACCTTAGGCCCTCATTGATTTGTACCACCTTGATAGAATGGTTAAGTCCAGGTATCATTAATGTGCACCATCTCCAGTCAATAGGGTATTGTTGTGATAAGTGTAGGGTATATCAATGTTTTTATTTACACTACATTTTATGATGCTGCATGTGTGAATGTCAGCTGAACATGCGGTAATCACTGGCTGGAAGATTTGAATTTGGAACATTGAATTGTCATTAATAAAGAGGGAGAGGTATAAAGACCATGACCAATAGATGAACCGGTAATATTCCATTTCATTAAATATATTACAAGTGAAAAGATCTTATACAACGAGCCGAGATACCACAGTATGAACATGAATGTGATGTCCCCTTCAAAACAACGAAACCCACCCATTAGGATAATGTAGAATCGTCTCATACTTGCAAATGAGCTACAACATACATGTACATCACCGTTATGTCACCGGTCCCTGAAGACTTGTTCTGATTAAGGTGACATGGAGTGAACTCAAAGCAGCAATATCCTCCTAGAATGCGGCAACCCAGACACCTACAAGACACCCTTAATTAGTCTTCTAAGCCCTCAATACGACTCCTCCTTGGTATGACTCATGGCTGGGTACTGCATACAGGGGTGGGGGGGGGAAGGGGTCATGGGGGGAGGGGGGGCTAGATGGGGACGGTGTTATGGCTCCGTGATGAAGTACATGTATACTGTGTTATTTGGGATGGAGGAGCGGGATGGGGGTGGAGAGAGGTGGGCAAGGGGTTTTCAGATGAATCCAGATTGAAATTGGTGGTTACATGCTCCGTTATAATAACATTTGAATAGAGAGAGGTGATTTTTTATTATCTTAGGTACTAGTGAATCTACAAATTAACAAGGGTCTTTGATCCTGATTGGGGGGGGGGGCGCCATATGAATCCAGATTTCAATTTGTTGTTATATGCTCTGTAATCATTAGACATCAGAAGTAAGGGTTTCATATACTGATAAATCTACAAATTTTTTCTGTATGCCATGATGTACCTAGCTTAGCAAAGTATGCCAAACGGGCACAAAAAGATGCATCCAGAACAAAAAAGGCATGATTGTAGGTGATATTGTCAAATCAGTGATGTGATTCTTCAAATGTGAATGATGGTTCTGATATCATTCAACCTCATGTCAGAGGTCATAAAGGTCATGTCATAATGATATGGTTCTACTCTATGCCATAATATTAAGATTTTCCGTCATGATTCATTTTGCATTCTGGACACATCTTTTCATGCCACCACTTTTCGCTAAGCTTTGAAAACAGCATTGAGAAAAATTATTCTACCCTAAGAATGATTGCTTTAATAATATGGATTCATTAGGCTTCCCTCGATCCTCAAACAGGTGTTTGCTCATCTAAAAAGAAAGCATTTAAAGTTTGACCCGAGAAAAGAAGTTTGGATATGGAGACGGTGTCGTAAAACATGATACTCCTAATATCGGCATATACAGACAGAGCCCCCAAGGAAACCCCACAAGATGCAATCAAGATTGTGAAGATGTTGAGCTCATGATTACAATTTCTCTGGCTACAGGGATATGAGTCCCATCTACACTGCCAGTGTTTTTTAAAAATAAAGATCCTAAGTTGAACTTTTCTCAAAGTTGGAGAGCCGTTAGTATCTTTGAAAATATTTTGTAAAAGTTATTTTAAAAGGCATAGCATGTTGATTCAAATCTTTTATATTTTCTGTTATCAAGGAGATTTCATGTTCTTGATGTGGAATTTATGAAAAGTCTAAAATACTTGAATTTTTGCTTTTGAATATGTTTTTATATAAGGCTACAAATTAATGGCTCTCCATAATGTTTAAGTCCAGCTTAGAGTTAAGTTTGACTTAGGATCTTTGTGAAACACCCCCCCCCCCCCCTGAGGTGGGTGTTTCGATTCAGGTTTTTCATTGTGAGAAAAACCTTATAGTTTTTGCTTGCATTGTAAATGCCCCTAATCTCAAGATCAGGCTACACAGGTATTGTTGAACAGACATACTTGAGAAACATGAGGTATTTCTCTCTCTCACTGATTACCTCGTGGCTTTAAATAGCCTGGGGAGGGAGGGATGGGGGGGAGGGGTGTTGATAAGATCTGAAGAGCAACTAATGATTACTTGCTAATGAGGCAGGTACCACGGTATCTAAATCACTCCGGTATTCCTCCTACGTAATCATATGGAGAGTTTCATCGGGCTTTGGTATGTTGTTGCCAGCTAGGAGTGATACCCATCAAGTATTATCATTTTTGTGAACATCGACAGGGGACATACATGTATGTGGAATCATTCAAATTTTGTAAAAGTTTTTTGTGCTCGCTACAAAATATCATTTGGAAAACATCTGTTCATATATCATGTAGCATTTGTATTTCAAAGACGTTTTAACACCGAGACATGTAATTCAATTGTTGTGGGGGTGTGGTTTACTTCTTCCCTCCTCTCTCTCTCCTTCTGTCTATCTCTGTCTGGCTGTCTCTGTCTCACTGTCTCTGTCTAACTGTCTCTCTTTCTCTCACTCTTGCTCTCTTTCCCTCTCTGGAGTAGTCATTACGCAGCCATGATGAGATGTCCCTGGATCATGAAAGACATGAATTTCATTGTGAAGATAAAGACTTTCGATACAGTTATACCAGTGTGAAATATTGTGTACGTCACATGGAAAATTATTCTGCAATACAAAATATGATGCCATGATACTTTGATGCAACTGAATATTATAAAGCTGTATTTAGAATATTTTTCATCATCCAAATATTAAAGTTTAAAGATATAAATATATATTAATAGTCTACTTTGTCCTCATATATTTTGATATGAATGAGGTCTAAACAAATGAAGGAACAATATTTTTGAAGACTGACATATGAAAAAACATATATTCTTTTCACTCTTAATAAGAATACAAATATATAAATATATTGTCCTATATTTGCCATGAACAAATGTCATTGTATATCTCTTAGTATCTGTTTAAACATACATTTACAGGTATGTCAAACTGTAAATGATTGTATATGTATTCACTTGTGTGGATTTCTTGCCAGTCTGCAATTAAGTTGAGAGCAAAAACAATCATATTCCATCCCAGCACCTCTGGTATTGTTTAGAACTTACATTTTTTGTATCCATCGATGGAACTTGGAATCGAGCTGTAAAACATTCCCAGGTGAGATATAAGTCAATAACCTTTGCAAAAGTTGAGCCCATCTCTTGCTTGATATGTGAACACCTGACTTCAATTAAAGCATTGCCTATAACCTGCAGAGAAAGTGAAGGAGCCAGCACTTGTTAGCTCTAGGGGCACATGACTTGACTTAAAACATCAACTATAACCGGCACAAAAGTTGCGTAACAAGGCCTTGCAAGCTCCTTATAACACATGGCTGTGATTAAAAAATCAATTGACGGAGACTATATCTAGAATACGTTACAGATTATGTTCATCTAGCAATTTTCAAGATTAATCATATTAACTCAGTTGGTTAAGGGGCTTATATGATATCCTCAAAATGCATTGGAACAGGGAGAGCGGTTCTTAATTTTCAGGTGTGGTTTCATATGTAGTTGTGTACTGAGAAAGCAATAAGAATTGATCCCCAGTCTCTGGAGGCTGTGTCAGGTAATCCCCCAGACGTGGGATGGTTAAGAGAATTAACATTTTAATAATCACTGTCTAGGGATGAAATTACCAGGAGTTATGCAATAAGACATGACAACCAAAGAAGAGAGTGTCTTTCGTTGATTCTCTTGAGCTGAGGATTCATAACTTGCTTGTAATGTAAGGATATGTATGGACATAAAAGGACTTAACTCGTCAACTACTGAATTCAGTCATTACCATAGGATTTAGTGCAGGAGCAACCTGGTCCCCATAGGTAAAGGGTTAAAAGAAACCAGTGCAAAGAAGAAGATGAAAATAAAGGTTATGAAGATGTAGAAAGGGTCAAAAGAAAGATAATAAGAATTAAATGTAGAAGAAATATTACAAACAGGTACTAAATATTTTAGTTATCTTTTTCATGTACACTTCCTGCCACTACTTTAAAAAAAAAAAAAAATCGTCATATATTTTTAGAATAAAATTGTCAATTCGGAGCCAGAAGGGCATCCAAACATTACACAGAGTTATTTCCTTCTGCCTCTGAACAGACTATATATATTACAGCATATTGAAATACTTATCTAATCAGCTAAAGCAATATCTCATTTTGAGATAGAAGTGGTGAGTTCTGTGTGGTGCGTTGAACAATTTTGTGGCCACAAAATTATGAATTGATGTAACCTAGCAACTGAATTAAACAGGCGACAAAGGATAAATTATTGACGCTGCGATTATTATTATGAGACCAGGGTTTGCTGTTATTTCTCTCGCTGCTGGCTCTCTGTCCATAATTCATTTATGATATTTGCTCTGCAGCTTAATATTGGTTATTTGATGTCGATGTGTGGTAAATTATTGCAGGATTCCAATAATGCTGGCACCGTGAGATTTGATTGTTATTCAATTGTGAGAATAGATGTATTATTATCATCTTTTTGTATGCTTAGAAGTATTGATTTGAAATGCTAAAAACAAATTCAAGAAATAACTTTGACATCATGGCAGTCAAAATTTGAATTGGTTGGATTGGATTCAAACATTGAGCACTATATTTTAAATTAAAAGAAAACAATTCTTTGATTTCTAAATGAGTGTCACTAACTATTTTATCATGTATTTTATCACAACTAAGAAATTTTCCTATGCTTTTATATCTTATAACAATTGTTTTTTTAGTTCTGTATTCATGTTTTATATATGTCATACATGTATTTTGTTTGGTGTCTTTTCTTCTTCTTCACTATAGTACTGAGATGCCATTGCTGTTTTTATTGTACTGACCATGAGCAATATTATATCGTCATAAAATGTGTACTTTACATGAATTTCTTAAAGACATTACTAGATTCAATAAATAAGATTGGCAGATATTTTTTGAGTGCAGAATAGTTTGAAATTGTCACTGAATTTGCTTGTGATAGTTGTATATCACAGTGGGATTAAGGGGAAAGTCATCTTTTGAGCGCCAGAAGGGTATTGACTCATATACTTTTACATGGTATTAATGCCCCTCTAGCATTGAACAGACACGATTAT